TTCACTTATGATATAATGATAAAAATGGTAATTAAAGCAGTATGAATGGAGATAGATATATAGACAGATATACATAGACAATGCAGGTATACAATGTATATAGACACTATAGGTATACAATGTATATAGACAGTATAGGTATACAATGTATATAGACAGTATAGGTATACAATGTATATAGACACTATAGGTATACAATGTATATAGACAGTATAGGTATACAATGTATATAGACAGTATAGGTATACAAACAATGTATAGACACTATAGGTATACAATGTATATAGACAGTATAGGTATACAATGTATATAGACAGTATAGGTATACAATGTATATAGACACTATAGGTATACAATGTATATAGACAGTATAGGTATACAAACAATGTATAGACACTATAGGTATACAATGTATATAGACTGTATAGGTATACAATGTATATAGACAGTATAGGTATACAATGTATATAGACAGTATAGGTATACAATGTATATAGACAGTATAGGTATACAAACAATGTATAGACACTATAGGTATACAATGTATATATAGGTATACAATGTATATAGTATACAATATAGGTATACAATGTATATAGACAGTATAGGTATACAATGTATATAGACACTATAGGTATACAATGTATATAGACAGTATAGGTATACAATGTATATAGACAGTATAGGTATACAATGCATATAGACAGTATAGGTATACAAACAATGTATAGACACTATAGGTATACAATGTATATAGACACTATAGGTATACAATGTATATAGACAGTATAGGTATACAATGTATATAGACAGTATAGGTATACAATGCATATAGACAGTATAGGTATACAATGTATATAGACAGTATAGGTATACAATGCATATAGACAGTATAGGTATACAAACAATGTATAGACACTATAGGTATACAATGTATATAGACACTATAGGTATACAATGTATATAGACAGTATAGGTATAAAAACAATGTATAGACAGTATAGGTATACAATGTACATAGACACTATAGGTATACAATGCATATAGACAGTATAGGTATACAATGTATAGACAGTATAGGTATACAATGTATATAGACACTATAGGTATACAATGTATATAGACACTATAGGTATACAAACAATGTATAGACACTATAGGTATACAATGTATATAGACACTATAGGTATACAATGTATATAGACACTATAGGTATACAATGCATATAGACAGTATAGGTATACAATGTATAGACAGTATAGGTATACAATGTACATAGACACTATAGGTATACAATGTACATAGACACTATAGGTATACAATGTACATAGACACTATAGGTATACAATGTATATAGATAGTATAGGTATACAAACAATGTATAGACAGTATAGGTATACAATGTACATAGACACTATAGGTATACAATGTATATAGACACTATAGGTATACAAACAATGTATAGACAGTATAGGTATACAATGTATATAGACACTATAGGTATACAAACAATGTATAGACAGTATAGGTATACAATGTATATAGACACTATAGGTATACAAACAATGTATAGACAGTATAGGTATACAATGTATATAGACACTATAGGTATACAAACAATGTATAGACAGTATAGGTATACAATGTATATAGACACTATAGGTATACAAACAATGTATAGACAGTATAGGTATACAATGTATATAGACACTATAGGTATACAAACAATGTATAGACAGTATAGGTATACAATGTATATAGACACTATAGGTATACAAACAATGTATAGACAGTATAGGTAAGCAACAGCAAACAATATCAGCATCCCAGTACCAAACGGATGTCAATATAAACTGTTAAATAAATCACCAAATTATTAAATAAATCACCAAATTGTTAAATAAATCACCAGTTATATAAATCACCAAACTGTTAAATAAATCACCAAACTGTTATATAAATCACCTAACTGTTATATAAATCACCAAATTATTAACTAAATCACTAAATTGTTAAATAAATCACCAAACTGCTAAATAAATCACCAAACTCCTGAATAAATCACCAAATTTAAAAAAAAATCACCACAACTTGTATAACGACGCAGAAACATTGTTAAATATGTAATAACTATTTTTATACATTATTCAATAACTCAAGTAACATACAGTAAATTGTTTGACTTAAATTAAACAAAAGAACATAGAGAAATAACTTAAGTAGCATTTTATAATGGGATTTACCCGCTTTATCATTGTGTCTTACCGTGATTGCAACTTATTTTGTGTACACCTGCACTATCTATCGTATCTATCTATCTATCTATCTATCGAACAGGTCATAGCCAGGAATGTTATCTAAGGGGGGGGGGTCTTAAACTACACTTGGTGGAGACATAAAGACCTCATCCGTTTTAACTTATCTTCAAGTTAAAGAATTTTAGTCTCTAACTTTAGGTAATATAAAGGTCTTGGACTGTGAGGGTTTTAGCTCATAACTTACGATGGTTTAGTTAGGTTCAGGTGTCTACTTCTACTACTACTACTACTACTACTACTACTACTACTACTTCTACTACTACTTCTACTACTACTACTACTACTACTACTACTACTACTTTTTTTTAAATGGCCTCCAGCCTCCCCCAATAGCCACACCTTCGCCGCCATTTTATTACCTTAAAATTAACTATCCTAATACATAAGTAGCTACCCTGGCTGTGTTGACTACTACTACAAGAGCTATTACGACTACTTTTACTACTATTACTGGTGCTATTATCTTTATCATTCACTATAACTGTATTAATTAACTTTACCTGCATTGCCGCTAATTACTATCAGGTGTTCTTCTTCTTCTTCTTCTTCTAGTATGGACAAAATACTTTCTCCTCCTTGCTTTTCCATTTCTCGGTTCACCTGGAGAAAAAAACAAATAATGACCACCCTCGTATAATGATTTTCTGTGTCTGTCTGTCTCCCTTTCTTTATCCTTCTATCTTTTTCTCCCTCTACCCACCCTCTCTCTTTCTACCCACCTCTCTCTCTCTCTACCCTCTCCCCTCCCCCTCTCTCTCTACCCCCTCCCCTCCCCCTCTCTCTCTACCTCTCTCTTCTAGTCCCCTCCCCCTCTCTCTGTATATTAAAAATTTTATAACCAACCAAAACACCTCATCAAAATAATGATTCTTTTTACCTCTGGATTATACAAGCCAGGCAAAGGCTTCGAGGCTTCGTAAAGCTTCACACGGCTGGAGCTTCATATACGGTTCCCTAATCTCCCAGGACTGACAAAAATGAAGCCGATTCCCAGAAAATGCTCTCGTGTGAATGTCAGTCACGAGGCTTCTTCACAAGGTGTATATTGAGAGAGAGAGAGAGAGAGAGAGAGAGAGAGAGAGAGAGAGAGAGAGAGTAGTAAAATGGCCAAAGAATATACCTAGACAGTACAGGTATACAAGCAACGGTAAACAGTCTACACCTTTAAACACTGCTGCCTAACCTAACCTAACCTAACCTAACCTAACCAAAGTTATGTCTGTACCTGTCTATTATTATATCTGTATTTGTATCTTCACCTATATTTCTGTTATTGCATGTACACCTGTAATTAGATCTACACCTGTACTTACACCTGCACCGCTGTGTGTGTGTGTGTGTGTGTGTGTGTGTAAACTTGAATACGTACTATATGTGTAGATGTATGTATGTATGTATGTATGTATGTATGTATGTATGTATAATTAACAAAAACACAAAGAGATTATAGAGATTTTGTTACTGTTGTTGTTGTTGTGGGCAAAGTGGTGGATGTCAGCGTGGTTGGTCCGTCTGTCTGTCTGTCTCTGTCTTCGGGTCAGTATGTCTGCTGCTTTTCTCTCTCCCTCTCTCTCTGTTTATCTGTTATTCTCTCTATGTCTGTCAGTCTCTCTCTCTCTCTCTCTCTCTGGTAATGTTTTAACCAAGTACACGAACACTGGGACATGTGACCCAGAATAGGTTCAACATACGGAAATTCTTGGCTTGGCGAGCGGCCCCCAGTGCGCAGTAGTGTGTGTTGGTAGCGTACAGCAAGAGGGGGTTGGCTGAGACACAGACAGACAAAGAGACGGGCAGACGGATAGACTGGCAGACGGATAAAGGGCTGGCAGACAGAGGGGGGTTACAGAGACAGACAGCGAGCGAGACTGGCAGATACAGCTAACGACAGGCAGAAAGACAGCGATAGACAGACAGATAGACAGATAGACAGATAGAAAGACAGTCTGCCACAACTACAAAAGAACATGCAAAGAAGCAAGACGCTCTGCCCTTGGTCAAAGTCATGGCTCATGGCGGCCGGCAAGGAAACACGCTAACATGTACATGACTGGCTCAGCCGCCGGCACGCACACACACACACACACCCATAAAAATTCTTACTGCTAGCCTGGCCAGACCCCGCCATTGTGGGACTCCCGCCTCCTACACCCTCACCCAACCCGCTCTGGCAGCCATTTTGTGTCTCTAATGTCTCACCTTATCCATCTACATGATGTTTATGTAGGCCGTAGTGTAGTGACGGAAGGGGGGCGGGAGTGAGGGGGGGCTGGTGTACGAGGGCAAGTCTAAACACCTCCACCAATAGCCTGCGGGCCTGGAGGACGTGGCACCACTGTACTGGTGAGACGTGGCACACCAGCAGATGGGGGACATGACGTGGCACCACCGCACACAACACACACAGCTCCCTCACACGTGGCACCACCGCACACAACACACACAGCTCCCTCACACGTGGCACCACCGCAACACACAGCTCTTTCTCAGACGTGGCACCATCGTACAACACAACTCCCTCTGACGTGGCAACACCGCACATCTAGAATTACAACAAGAGGAAAATTAATGACATCGCAAATATGAAATATTACCCCAGACGACCCGATATGACCACCGCCGGGCCAAGACAGACCTGGACCACCGTGCACCAGGTGATGGAACAGCGGAGGGCGCGGTGGAAAAAAACGAACGAAGAGAAACGGAAGAGTTTGAGAAAGTTCGATAAAGCGGACTGCCGAGAACGCCATTGCACAGAGGCCTTCACTCCGTACATTGGCACCAGTCCCTCCCTCCCTCCCCAATCATCCTCAAGTAACTCGCTGATGAACACTGCCATCACCTGCACGCACAAAAAACACAACTACTTCAATGCTGAATACAATAGTGAGTTTGAGAGATAATCCATTCGTCTACATAAAGGAAGTGTTTAATATGAACTGGCAACTCCGCTGCACTTGCTGCTGGAGGTCGTGAGTTGCCAAACACAATTTACTTCCATGCATTTATTTATACATAAAAAGATATTATTTTCGAGAACTGTATTACTCTTCTCTTGACCTTTATAATATATATATATATATATATATATATATATATATATATATATATATATATATATATATATATATATATATATTGTATATACAGTACAGGGTGTCACTGAGATGTGCATTAATTTGCAGTGTATTTCTGAGTCAATTCTAAGACACAATATCGATATAAAATATAAATCCTCATAGTTTAGCAGCTACAACACTAACAGGTTGGGGTGATGACGGTCAGTGAAACAGCCTCTAGAGTAGTGTTGTACACAAGGTGATGCATGTACTCGGCCGATACCTTGTGAATGGGACAACAAATGTGTATGACTGAATGAGGTTATGTCAGGTAGCAGTAGTTAAGATAAAGGGGGAGGAAGGTGTAGGCCGGCGAACATTCCCGTCATTGCCACCAGCCGGGGCAGACCGCCATCACCGCCCACAGTGTGAGTGAGGGCAGGTCCCCTGGTTCACACTGTGCTAGTTAGCTTCAGTAACTATACCAAAAGATCGTACTATCTGTAGATCTTATTGTTTACATGTATGTTATCTCTTGTGTTAATTTCAGGCGCTGTATCCCAGTGTATGATGAAGGGATACAGACGGTGAAGTACTGACGTGGCACAAGGTAATTGCTGAGTAGGTTGTCATATCCCCAAACTTTCATCACAGTTGATCGGAGACTTGTGGAAAGAGTGGACAAAAATAATAAATAAACACAAAAATATAAACAATGATTAAAATTTCCAAGTCATTAAAATTTATATATACTGTATATAGCCAAAAATAAATTACCCCAAATACCGTAGTAATTAATCAAACTAACAGAATTATTACAGTCTGTTAATTTTGTCTTGGCGACATTGCTATGATATTTGTTTTTTTTCTTGTTTCTCCTTCTCCCTCCTTTATTCCTTCTTGTTCCTTCTTATTCTTCCTTCATAATTCTCATCGTTCTGGCCAAAATGATAAATGAGAGAGGAAGAAGGGCTTAGAGAAGAGGAAGTAAAGAAGAGAAGTAAGCCAGAAAAGAAGAGGAGGTAATAAGAGATGATGGAAGAAGAGACGAAGTAAGAAGATAAGAATAAGAGGAGGAGGGGTGAGAAGAGGAATAGAAATGGGGCCGAGAAGAGAAGATGAGGAGGAGGGATAAGAAGAGAAGAAGAAATTAAAGTGAAACAAAGAAAATAACCGTATTTTCTCAGGCGCACATTCACTTACTATCTGTTGCAATTCTCTTTTAGTGTCAATATCATTATTTATTTCTCTCTCTCTCTCTCTTCTCTTCCTCATATTTACCATCTCTCTCATTCTCCTCCTTCTCATTATTATTATTATATTTATTATTTCTCATCTCTCACTCCTCTTCCCCATCTTCTCTTTCTGATTCTCCTTCTCCTTCTCTTCCTCCTCCTCTTCATTCTCTTCCTCCTCCTTCTTCCTTGATTCACGGGGATGTCTGCCAGTACAGTATTTCCTCTTCAAATTCTCCCATGTCTAAGTTTAACCATTCAAAAATGTAATCTAAAGTTATGTCAATTTATCCACCTATTGCCATCAATCATCTGTTGTTGTTGTAGTTGTTGGTGTAACTGTTGTAGTTATTGTTGTTAGAGTTCATGTTGTTGTTGTTGTTTTATTAGTAGTGGAAGAATTGGTGGTGATGGTGGTGATGGTGGTGATGGTGGTGTGGTGGTGGTGATGGTGGTGGTGATGGCGGTGGTGGTGACGGTGGTGGTGGTGGTGGTGGTGGTGACGGTGGTGGTGGTGGTGGTGGTGGTGGTGGTGGTGATGGTGGTGGTGGTGGTGATGGTGATGGTGGTGGTGGTGGTGGTGGTGGTGGTGACGGTGGTGGTGATGGTGGTGGTGTGGTGGTGGTGGTGGTGGTGGTGGTGACGGTGACGGTGGTGGTGGTGGTGGTGTGGTGGTGATGGTGGCCTGTCTGTGTTGTGGTAAACATTCCCCAAATAGATCCATTTCCTCCTCCTATCCAAATCTATAATTAAAATCAAGACCAAACTTTATCTCTTTAACGTCTGAGAATCATTGTCTTCAACTCCTTGATACTCTCACACACACACACACACACACACACACACACACACACACACACACACATACACACACGCACACACACACACACACTGGGACACCTGTAGTTTGTGATGATGTCTGGTCCAACACCTGTACACGGCCGATAAGGATTACATCTCATTTAGGGGATAATGGGGTTTAAGGGGGTGAGAGAGATAAGAGATGAGAGGGTTAAGGGGGACAGAGTTAAGGGGAGAAAGAGTTAATGGGTGTTAAAAAGATAACAACAGACGTACATAATAGAGGAGGAATCTAAGGGGAATAAAGAAGATAAGAAAATAAATACAGCAAGAGAGAGAGAGAGAGAGAATAGGATAATGGCGGCTATAATGGCTTCTAATGGGTGGTTAGGGGGGGGAAAGGGGGGGGGGAGCGGTGTGAAGGTTTGGGGCCGGCAAGGGAAAGGGTGGGGCTGGCAAGGGAAGGGGTGGGTGAAGGAACAGAGCAACAGCGTGGAAAGGAAGTCATCTGATAATAACAGGAAAGGAACGTTTTGGATGAAATGGTACAACAGACAAACAGACAGACACAGACAGATAGACAAACAGACAGACAGAGAGAGATACGCATAGACAGACAGACACTGACAGAGACAAACAAACAGACAGACAGTTTACTTTCTTGATTATAAACACCTTTTAGAAACCACCTATCCACTGCGGAACCCGACTTTAGAAAACAACATCACGAATATAACTTGTAATTTATTCTTCTCTAGACAACTCTCTCCCACACCCACCACACGTACACACACACACACACGTACACACACACACACACACACACACACACACTGTATATATTTCAAATACATCATATTCCCCTCTGTCTCTTTGTCTGTCTGTCTTAATATCTATCTATCTATCTATCTATCTATCTATCTATCTATCTCCCTTCATTACTTTTTATATTTCTATATTCCTTTCTTCCTCTTTCTCTCTCCCCTCTCTCTACTTTGTCTGTCTCTCCCTCTCTATCTCTCGTTATTTCCCTCTCTCTGTCTTTCTTCCTCTGTTTGTCTCTCTCTCATATTCTTTCATCTTCCTTCCTGTCTGTCTTGTTCTCACCATTTATCTTATTTTTCCTACTTTCTTTCTTCTCTTCATATATTTTTTTATTCTCAAATTATCCGCTTGTTGTTGTTGTTGTTGTTGTTGTTGTTGTGCTTCAGTGACTCAGGTGAACAAGAACACAACACAGACTAAAAATAATAGTAAATGTTCTTGTTTTATTTGTTTATTTCTTTGTTTATCCTTGTTTATGTATGTCTGAGTATGATACAAAAATGTTAGCGTATCTTACACTGTATAAAACATCCCTCACAAACTTTACCTAAAACACAGCCTAGACACCAGTCAGCAGTAAACACAGTCAATCAGTCAGTCAGTCAGCAGTAAACACAGTCAGTCAGTCAGCAGTAAACACAGTCAATCAGTCAGTCAGCAGTAAACACAGTCAGTCAGTCAGCAGTAAACACAGTCAATCAGTCAGTCAGCAGTAAACACAGTCAGTCAGTCAGCAGTAAACACAGTCAATCAGTCAGTCAGCAGTAAACACAGTCAGTCAGTCAGCAGCAAACACAGTCAGTCAGTCAGCCAATCATACTAAAAATTCCTCTGAGTACACTTAAAATTCGCTTAATGGATAAATTTAATTGTCTAATGACTTTGTTACGTCAACTATTATGCCCCTAAACATCTTTTCCATTAAATGCATTATTAACGCTTCGAGTTTCATTGTTGACAAGAGCAGAAAGGAAGAAACAAAAAAAAATCGCATATCACTAGAATTTTTGTAATGGACGAGTGTTGCCGAGTTCTCTTCTTCAACGTGTTTGTGTTTGTAATTGTGTGTGTGTGTGTGTGTGTGTGTGTGTGTGTGTGTGTGTGTGTGTGTGTGTGTGTGTTTTTGAGAGTTCTAAGGTTTAGGTAAGTCTGTGTGCTGTAGTCTGTGTACTGTAAGTCTATTATGTAGTCTGTGTTCTGTAGTGTTTCTGTGCTGTTGTCTGTGTACTGTAGTGTGTTCTGTAGTGTGATTTGTAGTCTGTGCTGTGAAGTCTGTGTACTGTAGTGTGATATAGTCTGTGTACTGTAGTATTTCTGTAGTCTGTCTGCTGTTTTCTGTCTGCAGTGTTTTGAAAGCCAGGAGAGATTATGGGCGAGGCGAGAAAATAAAACTAGGGAATCTTTTATCTGGCAGAGAGCTCTCGGGCAGGGGATCGATGTGGGAGTGTGAAATAATAGACAAAGAGAGAGAATGGTATTTTATTTCACCCAGGGAGGGGGACCAGTGTCTCTCTCTCTCTCTCTTGCTTTCGTTCTCTATCTCTCTCTCTCTCTCTCTCTCTCTCTCTCTCTATCTCTCGCTGTCTCCTTCTCTCTTTATTTTTCTGTCTCCTCTCTCTCTCTCTCTCAGTAGTCTATATTCCCGGTGTATTGATACAGATTCCAACTCTATCGTGTGGGGATTCGAAACCTGTTAGTGAAGATTTCCGGAAATCAAAAAGGTTCCATTGATATTCTTTTGGGTTCAGAGCTCCAACAACAA